AGAATGTGAGATCCAAGAGTGAACTACTACGCCGCAACAGCCTAGAACCTTTTATTAATCAACATCACTGGTCCGCAGCAAATAGTAAGTCCACATTGTAATTACTTTCATTCGGAGGTTCCACTGTTCGCGTACCTACCTTTCGACTTTGCGACTGATTTTCGGAAAAATCAAGAAACATTCAAAATAAACAAATACATAGACACACTCAAAAATTCGGTTTAATCGGAAAGGCTACTCGCGGTATATAGCCGTCTCGGGTAGCGTCCGAATTATTTCTTTTTTCCTCCCTAAATCACGGAAACAAACAAAACTCATTTATCTCCAAATATCAGTCTTAGAATCATGACACATCCAAATTTATTCCTATTGTTATTTCCATTGAAACCTAACAAATTAAACAAAACCGAATTTATCAAGATACAAATCTTTAAGATGATTTAAGTTGTATAAACATGGGTTAAGAGGCTGGCTACACTAAAGAACTCGCACTCCTTTTCTCTCTCACACTCGCGTTCTAGCGTGTAGATTACATTGTACGAAACAATTATATGCTCCTTTATTGTATTAATTTCTGCATGTCTGTTATTAATTCATTGATTTCGATTTTTCAATAAATATAACTACTTTGTAATATGTGGAGTCAAACTAAAGAATTATTCTTTGTTATCCTTCTTTCCGTATAACCCATTCTCACGTCCTCGTTAAAATCGCTAGGTCCCGTCCTTGGTAAATGAGATTTGCGTCTCAGACCTAAAAAAGGACCAACGAGCGAGTGTTCGCTAGACAGAGTAAGATCGGCGTACGCCGTTGACCTGTCGACGAATATAAACAAACTCGCTCGACTCTCTCACAGCGAGACTTCCGTGTCCACTGTAAAGAAAGATATGGAAAACGATGCGTTTACTGTTGCGTCACACCACAGCCCGACCGTATCCATGGGCCAAGACGTAACAATGGAATGAAACAAATAAACTCTGAACTAGTGCGACCAATTCAGCGAGAAAACACAAGTCAAATTAAAAGTATACCTAACCTAACCTCACAATTCCTGCATATTCCGAAAGCCACACATAACGCCACTTTGATCGCACAGTAATGCCACAGTGATGCCACAGTGAAAGCACTATGATAACACTGTGAAAGCACTGTGACCGCACGCAGTGCGATGGCACGACGTGCTGTCACGGTGACGTCATAGCGCGGACGTACCTGGACATACTCGTGCTGTCACGCGTGCGCCACAGCGTGCGGTCGCAGTGGCGTCACGGTGTCATCACATGGGTATCGGGGAAGCGTAACGTGTCATCGCGATGCTTGCTAGATGAACTTGTATCTGGCAGTCACAGAGACATCACGCTATGAAACCCATATATGTAATATATGGGTTTCATAGCTCCTATATTGCTAGTCGCGTATCTTCGCAATGAGAGGCACGAGGCCCGAGAAAGGGAGACCCACGAAGTCCAAATATGGGCATAGATGGTCGAGCGTCATTATGCGCAGGCGCATCTACCAAGTGAGTGCGAGCGAGACAAAACATTGGAAAGTGAGAGAAAGAACGCGAGAAAGAGAAATGCGCAAGCGTGCTTGAATGGTCACCGCATGCGCACAAAGCAGCTGGAGAGAGGCTACTATATTGTCTGCACCGTAACGGTGAGCTTCAGGTCGGCACCGTATTAGCAATATAGGAGTATTACATATATGATGAAACCATGCTTGCATAATGCCGGCACGTTGCCACCATTTTGTTTGCTGGGTAATTATATTCTTATATCCAAATTGCTGAGCAAGGAATTGCAGAAATGCACGTAGACCTTCCTTCGTACAATATAGTGCAGCCTCATCTTTTGTTTGACTGTAAAACTGACGCATACCATCTAAAAGATTTTGAAAAGGTTATATGTAGAAATATCACTAACTTATTGAAAATAGAAATTTGCACATATATTCATACATGTACACATTTATGTTAAAATGTGTTTATAAGA